GAAGAAATCGTAGGTTAAGGGGGGGGGGGGGGGGGAGAGGGTTTAGAGATGGGGTGAGGAGGAAGTTGGGAGTTGAGAGAAAGGGGAAGGGGGGGGGAGTGAGTGTACCATGCATGGCCGTGGATGCGAAACAGACGGAGTGGTTTGGGTGCGGCTTTTTTGTTTGCGGTGGAGTAAAGACGATAGAATAGTAGTCACATCACTGTGTTCCTCTTGTATGATGGCTCAAAGCAGATTTCATTTCCGATGTACGATGTAGGGAGTGTCCTAAAGTATCCCTTGACCAGTTCATAATGACCGATTGACCAAAACAGAACCTAATGTGCAACCAATAATACCACCACACACACCCCAACCCCACTCACAGATCGTTCTGCTTCTTGCGCAGGTCAAACACGCGGATGGCCTCCTCGGCCGCCTTGACGCCGCTGAGGGCCATGGCGCCAAAGGTCGGGCCCATGCGGTTGGCGCCGTCGATCTCGGACAGCTCCATGCCGCCGACGATCAGGCCCGGCACAATCTCGCGCGTGTTCTTGACGATGGCGTCCTCGGCCCGCTGCATGTCCAGCCCGCGCATGCCCTCGAGCTGCTCCAGCTGCTTCATGCTGACCAGGCGCTTGACCGAGAAGGCGCCGAAGGGGCCTGTGGTGTTCATAGTGTTAGCTTCCAATTCCTTTTTCAGGGTTGCAGCAGAAGATGGTTTACCATCGTGGCCGGTGGTGGAGATGATGACGGGGGCGTTGATGGTGTTGGGGTCCATGCAGCTCTGGTCGTCGTGGTGCATCGACACCAGGGTCCAGTTGGTAACGACGCCGGCAATACGGACGCCCGCACCGCCCTCGTCGGGACGCGTGATCAGGTCCTCCACAGTCGTGGCGTTGAACATCTTGACGTTGTCCATGGCCAGCACCTTGGACATGACGGTGCTGGTGAAGAGCGCGGCGTGCTTGACGACCACGTAGTCGCCCTCGTCGTCGAAGGGCACGCCGATCTCGCGCAGGAACACGTCGGCCGGCTTGCGCATCACCATGGCGCTGAACAGCTGGCCGCCCAGCCATGCACCGCCACCGGGGGCGACGCCCGCCTCGATGATGGTGATGCGCAGGTCCGGGCGGAGCGTGCCCAGCGTGTAGGCTGCCGACAGGCCGCAGGAGCCGGCGCCGACGATGACGATGTCAGACTCGGCGTGCGTGTCGAGGTCGGCAAAGTCTGGGTTTTGTTAGCCAGGGTTTAGGGTACTTTGTATGGCTTGGCTAAATAGGGGATGGCTTACAGCGACGGGTCATGGCGCGGGAGACGGTGCTCTCGCGGATGGGGGCGAAGGTGAAGTTGTCCCAACTGCCCATCATCTCGTTCAGAGACTTGGTCAAGCCATCGTCGGTGCGGTCCTCAACGAGGGCAGCGGCATCCTTCACCTTCTTGGAGGCGAAGGCGAGCTGCGCGTGCTGCTGAGCGGGAGAGATTGCTGAGGGAGCCATTGCTGTTGGTGGTGAGGGTTATCTGCGAGAGTTAGGATTCTGCCACTGCAGAGGAAGGAGAGACAAGAAGCATGATCCTTTCGCTGGTATTATCCAGATCAAGTTACTGCCGTATAATCTCAGCCGCTCCGGCGCTGTCGAGACACCTGTGTCCGGGGACTGGCAGGTGCTTGACAGCAACCGGATTGGCACCGGCTCATGCATTCAGATAGTTACCTGAAGATGATACGATTGATCATTGTGGGATAGGACACCATCGAAAGACCACCATGGCTTCTTCGTCTCCGGAGTGGGACGGCATCATGTACCGGACGGATATGTCAGTCTGGCCTGTGGTTAGAAGAGTCCATCATGAGCGGAGAGAGTCCGATGCGCACGACACTTATAATCTGTTTGATGAGTTGCTGGGTAGACTAGCTGTCGAGACAGTTATCGCTTCGGGGAGAGAAAAGGAGAAGGAACAGGGACAATGGGAAACAGCAGGACTCCCTCTTTATCATGTCCTCCGGCGGCGGCTCTGCACGGCTCAAAGCAATATGGAGACCCCCACGGGCCCCCTCTCTTGCGCATACATAGTACTACTTTCTCCGGAAGCGAACCCCTCACGGCGTTGGCGATCGGGACCCGCGCTGAGTTGGATGGGTGAGTAAGGCACTGGGACAATCCAATGACGATATCGATGAACTCGAGCCGCCTCCTCGTGGCACCCCAACTTTCGCCCCCCCAATGGCAGCAGGGAATGAGCCTGCACGTCCATACACCAAGGTGCAGCCTGTCTATCGCGGCTAATCACGGGTTTATTAGAGATGTAGAATTGGCCAATGCAAAGACCGGCGTTGGGTGGGAGAAACCGCTCAGTCCACTCCGACATCCATCGCCCGCATCCGGGATCCGACCTCACCCGCGCGGGCCCGAGATCGGAGCGCGATTATTAGGTAAAGTGAACTTGGCACACATATGGTCGCTTACACAGAGACCGAGACATTTCTGTCTGATGTGACATTAAGAATAAGATAGGAATAACGCGGGTAGCCCCGATAAGAGATTCTCGGGAGCCGAGAACGAGAAGCCAGAAAAGGGGCTCTGCATGAGCAAGAAATGAATGGGGACCAAACCCAAAAATTATATCCCCAAGAAAGCACACACCATCGCGCAACTCACTACCTGAACCGCAAAGCCAACAGCCCCGATCCGAACACCGCCTGCCGTGACAGCCGGAGGTGCTCCCGTAGTAGTAGGCTGGTAGGGGGTGTTCGTCGTGGACGTCGTCGAAGAGGTAAACGGGTTATCAGGAGGCGTGGTAGTGGCAGTGGAGCTCACGCCAGACTCGTCACAGCCCGACGCGCTGACGGTGCTGGTAGAGGTTGACGTTGTCGTCGTCGTGACCTCCGGCGTTGTTGAGCCGCTTTCTTCTGAACACGACGACGACGCGCCGCTACTGTATGGGGAGCACCCGTGGCAGGGCGCGCCGGGGGTGTAGCCCGGGATGGTGCCGACGTAGGTGGTGGTTGAGCAGGTGCCGCAGAGCTGGACCGTCACTGTCATTGTCTCGTCGGTTGCGGTTGCGCAGGAGGTCTGGGAGGAGTTGGTTAGTTGCGGTGTGTGGCAGATGGAGACGTTGGGTGGCTTACGACTGTGACTGTAGCCGTGTCGGACGGCGGTGGCGTGCCCATAATGCAGGGATAGCAAGGACGGTTTGTCGTTTCCGTTGCGCAGATGGAACGAGTGAGCGTTTCCACGCATTGGGTGAGAGTTTCGGTCACTGCGGAGAGTTTCAGTAAGGCCGCTCGTGGCAGGGCTTCCGTCTCAGGAGGTCCTACCTGTTGACCCCTCCGGGCAGACCTCGGTGACTTCAACCATGAAGATTACCTCGATGCCCACCCAGCTGCCGCATTGTGGTCCGGGAAGAGGGTATCGTTCTGGGGCTACGTTAGCATGTGCTTCTCGTCTTGTTGTGGGACTACCTGTTCACATACCAGTCAAGTCTAAGTTTCCCGGATATTCGTTTCCTACAGGTCCTGATAGATGGCCGCGGATGAAGGACGTATCCTCAGCCAGAACGGCGGCCGAGAATCTGGCCAGTGCCAGTAGAAAAAGTCGAGGGGTGCGCATTTGGAGTCGGGTATGAAGGAGCTGGCTACTGACGAAATGGTTCCGTGAAAATAACAACTCCTAAGTCAGTTGAGGAGCAGGACGAGACGAGCTGAAAGGGGGAGATGCTTCCATCGGCAGACGAGAACCTATGTGTTATTTCACCTATACCAACGCCCGCATCGTGGAGATTAAGGGTACTCAAGGTGACAGCCATGATATTATGGCCCAACTCTGTGTTCGCAAATGGGGTGTTGTGATTTTCCGATGGGCTTTGCTCCCAAGAGTATCGCTTCGATCCATAATCTGTAGGACATCGCGGAGTACAATGTACGTCACTGTACAGCGTAGTACGGACTGTGGGTGAAACCTTGGGTTCACTCGCAAACGAATAGCCTTTCCTGCACCTCCCAATCGCCTCGTTTCCTCCTTCTCCCCGCGTCTCGACTGGGTTCCCGGAATCCCACCCGAGCTGAACGGCGATCCGCCAGGTGAAGCTGAGCGCGGAGGGGATATCTGAATTGGGATTTGGGTTATGGTAAATTGGTGAGGGTTGGGATCCCGAGTTGGTGACCCGAAGAGTAACGTTAACTCTGTAACAGCAAGTCAATTGTGTCTCATTGGAATGTCCTACCAAGCCACAAATGGCGGACAGGCAGCCACCGGACCACAGAAGAAAAGGGAAAGCTAGGCTGCGTCCTCGGACGGTGCTGGGAGCCCTTAAAATATATGACTACCACAGCTGAAACCAAAGACATTGAGACATTTCGACTGGGGCCGTGAACACGCCCAGCTTCCCCTGCCAGCCTCAGCATTCGACGCTGTTAGGAGCCAACATCGTCAAGCTACTGCTGTTATCCGTGTGCGGCGTCGGCGGTGTCACCCGAGGAACAGCTACCGCATCGGATAGCCACCCACGGCCATAGGTAGGCACTACACAGAGCTTGGGACTGTGCGATCTCGAGCAAGGGTCCGGCTGAAATACCCAGTGGCAAAATATTCAGGGTCATTGAGACAAAACATGGCGGCTCTGCCAGAGGGCATCTGTGGATGGCATTCCCAAATTCCAAATAACTACCTATTAATAGTTTAGTCGTGTTTTCGGTCTCCGAATAGGGGGAACGTCGGGTCCAGACATACCGAGATACAGGCAAGGTACGTACTGTACATACAATCTAGATGTCAATGGTAAAAGTTCGCATTCCTACCAGATTGATGCCTCAAAAAAATAGGCTTTGGCGTTGCTTAGAAATCATTTTAGAAAAACACCAACTAAACGATCGCCATCGGGATCGTAGTGTATCAATGATAAGGCACGCGCGCTAATAATGCACATTCGCGACTTGTTTGATGCTTTGATGATTCCTAAGCGATGACCACGCGCGACCTAATAATCATCAAAGGGTGGGGGGTTTCCTCGAGCGGTACCTAGGCAGCGGGAATCCCGAGTTTTTAGGGCAGGTTTCAGGGGTGCTTCGATGTGGGTCCGCATCTTGCATGCGCTGGGCTGCCCGTTTTGACGTGAATGCTCGCATGCTGCATGCGGGATGGGCTAGGCAGGGCAGGCATGCAACGCTGACTACGCGTTTTGTGAGTTGCATCCATGGCTCTTTTTCGAAAAGTTGAGCATGTCAATGCGAAACTCAACTTTCGAACTTGAACCTTCTCCGGCAAGTCTTGTGGATGACGCTGCTTAGCCGATCGGGGTACACCATGACCAGCCGTCAACGAGCAAAAAGTCATCTCATCCACGAATACTCCCTGTTTCCTTCTCCTGTTTCCATCCCCTCTCTTGTTGTCGTGAATACTTTGCTTCCAGCCATGGCGTTTCCCAAAACACCTAGATCTGACTCTTTCTCGTAGACTTCCCGAGAAACCAGAATGCACCGTGCAAGTGGCTGTCGGGTCCCTATCTAGCCACGGCGTGTGACAAAAACACCTGCTGCTCAGAGGTGACGATGGCAGACGACCAGACCCCCCTTGCAGATGTCTCCGGGCCTGCCCCCTACCATGGAGTTGGGTTCCCGGCCGACCGTCTTCCCACCCGTCCGGCCCACTCAGCTTTCCCGGCTTACGCTGTTGTCGTCTCTTCCCCGAGTCCTGCCTTACCGGCGCACGCCATCCCTCAGCTGCCGACTGGACTCTCTGATCTGACTTGCTCAACCCGTCTAGCGGCGTTTCCCAATGGCAGTATTTGTACCGACCTCTATCTACATCATGGTCATCTACCTATGGATACCGAGGACTCCACAAGTCCTCCGGATCGCCACTAGGTCGAACCCTCTCGCGTTAACTGGGCATGTCCATCCCCCTTTCAGCCCCCCAGATCGCAAGATCGAGAAAGCGATGGACGCCAAGGGGAGAGGCGGAGGGGCTTGGCCATATGCCACGCACCTAGGCCGGGAGAGAGTTGGACCGTTTGGCGTCATATAAGGATGCCCAACAGGGCCGAGCCCAGAACAGCATTCTTTCCCATCTTGGGCGTGCCAGGCCGATGTGAGTCTAGAAAGAAACGATCGATCATGATGGTCAACCAGGAGTCAAGAGCTGTGTTGGATAGCCTCTTGACTAAGACACATGTTCAGCATGCCTTGGTCCAGTCAGACGGCCGGCACAACGAGCTTCCTTCTGTAAGTGTTTATCACTACAGAGTTATGCGACCCAGCTAACACGCCCAGGCTCTCACTACTTTGTTTCTGCTCGGCGGGACACCGGATGGCCTCCAGCGAACATATGACTCGTTGAAAGGTGACCTCATCTCGTGGGAGCCGTCACCAAGGGGAATTTCTGACGCAGAGGCCAAGTCACAGTTCTTAGGTGATCCTAGGTACGAGAACCGTATAACATCAACGAAGCAAGTGTACTTAAGGTTCGCAGGTTTCAGCGCGCGTTTATGACGTACTTCAGCATGGAAAACGGCAGGTTCGCAGGCAACACCAAGTCACTCGCCATCTCTCATTTCTTTACGGGCACCAGCCCCTTAATCTACGGCCTATTCTCAGGGATTGGTCGACCGCTGACTTTGTTGGCTGACGGTATCGAGCTGCGGGCAGCCATACTCGTCATGCAATCTCTCACCCTTTCTGCCGTCGACTGGATGGAGCCCCTGGGCGAGTTGCTGACACATCCCCAGCTGGCTGCGCCATCCGGCGAGTATCTGTCACCCGAGGATATCATTGGCCGGGTGGCGTATGACGGACGCTTCAGCGGAGTTATGAAAGCTGGCTCCGGTTTCCACGGGGTTTCGCATGTCTTTTCGAGTCCAACCGCCAGAACGGGTATTGTCGAGTACCTGCGGTATCTCGATACCCGTGACCTGTCTTCGCTCTTACAACAAATCTCTGCCCTGTCAGTGCTCCTCCTCACGGCCACACACAAGGCCAACCAGCCAGCTTTCGACCTGTATCTCGGCCGCTTACCCACCTGCGTCAACAGCGTGCGGGTGATCGTCGAGAACTGGGTCGAAGATGAGGGCCACAAGCTTCTTCTCGTCAGAGGTCTCTGGCTGCTCGTGATCCTCACGTACGTCACCCAGCTGAGGCCCGTCATTGACGGGAAGCTCCTGGTCTCGAGGGAGCTGGCCGAGGAAACTAGAGGCTGGGAGGCTATAATGGACCGGATCCACAGTCAGTGCATTATGGAAGGCAGAGATGGTGGCCACGACCTCTTGAGGGCGGTTAGGAGCCTGCGGGAGCTGTCGGGAGAGTATGGCGCGGCGCATGGGCGGCTCTACATCCATGCCGCGTGGAAACTGCTGAGGAATTGGCAGGGGTGGGCTGGGCTGGGGAATGATCGTGAGGCGACGCTGAATATCAGACTGTGATGTCATGAATCTGTAATATGACCTGTACCGTAAGTTAGGCTGGAATAGATTGGAAATGTGTGCTCTCTCACCAATGAAGGTTCCTTGGCCGCGTGTACTGTACCCAGTTGACTGACATAATGAAGCAGAAGAGATGGAGTTTATACGTTTGTACAGGACTGGTCTTGATTTAGAAGTTAATCCGGCTCTGCAGGTTGCAAGAAATAAGTGCACTGGCGATGCATGCATACACTCTTAGAACACCTTGAAATAAGATAACTGGTTTACTTGGAAAAATAAAATTCGGGATAATGGTGCTGAAATAAATATAAAAAGCTCACCACCAAGCCCCATTCGCCGGTCGAATGGAGGTTGGTGGTTACGAAAACTCTTTTTTTTTTAGAGTTTCGCGCCGCGAGGGGGAGTCGAACCGGTCCTCTTTCGATTGGTGTCCAACCGGTCCTCCTCACAATGCCGCTGAGCTAAACCGTTGTTTAACTTCAATTGTGAGGAGGCGGTGATAGTGTGCGTGCGGGAACTTGTATATGTAGCACTGGCAGAGGCAGGAAGGTGGGGGGCCTTGGGCAACAGATTGTAGGTATGCAAAGGTTGGGATGGAAATGGGAGCTGGAAGGCACACAGGCCATGCCAGGCGAATATTATCCCCGTATGTACACCAGGCACCCCAAAGCCCAACAACGACCATCACCAGTACCCAGCCCCCTGACTCCAGCTTCCATTCGCGAACCACGTTCCAGCTTCGGTGTAATCCAACGCCCTCCCGCCCTCAGTAACGAACCCAAACCCAAAATACTCATCCACCACCCTCCCAGCCTCCCTCGTCCACTTGAAAACCTGCTCCTCCAACGGCTGTTCCGCAAACCACCCCCTATACCTCTCCACATCATTCACCAACACACTAATTCCCCTCAACCCCCATCCCCTCCACACCACCACCACTCTTCACCCCCTTCCACCAACGCCCGCCACTTAAACAAATGGCTCATCACCCCCTCCCCCCCCCCCCCGCATATTTAATCCATCCCGCCATCATGCGAATTCATACCAACCACCCTTCCAAAATTCCGGGTCTCAAGCATATGTCACGTTCATGGGCCAAAAGGCACCTCATGACAATTTCGGGCCAGGAAACGGTTAATGAAGTCGGATAACCACCCCTTCCCATACGGCAAGGGAACGTTTGCATACATCTAAAAATAACGGGCAAGGGGGTTC